CCCAGGGGTTAAGTCTCCAAGGGTGGGGCAGACCCCAAGGCCATCCTGGAAGCATATGTGCATTCATCTGTTTAGTTATAGGGTGGGGATCTCAACTGTTTCCAAGCTTCCAAGGGGGGTGTCGGCCCCACCATTTGTACAACTTTGAATCCCTGCCTCCCATGAATGCTTCTGACCAAATATGATCTATATCCATATTGCCCACTTTTGAATCTCCACTACCGAGGGATGCTTCAGACCAAATATGGTTGATATCCATCTCTTAGTTCCAGAGAAGTCGCTTAAATCAATTGAGCCCAATCGTCCCCTTTTGGCCCCGCCCCTCAGGCCCCTGGGGGGTCAGACCCACGGTTTATACAATATAGGTTCCCCTTTACCCAAGAATGCTTCAGACTAAATATGGAACAAATCCTTTCATTCCTACAGAAGAAGAAGGATTTTAAAGAATTTATATTTCCACTATTGGGCCCAGCCTCTCAGCACCCAGGGTGGCCAGACCCACCATTTAAACAAAATTTGTTCCCCTTCCCCTAAGGATGCTTCTGACCAAATTTGGTCAAAATCTGTTCAGTCGTTTATGACTAGTAGCGATTTTTAGGAAAAGTTGACGGACAACAGACACCGGACGCCATGGCATAAGCTCACTTGCCCTTTGGGCAGTTGAGCTAAAAATTAAGAAAGATCTCTCCAGTATTTCCCGAGTAATAAATAGCCAACCTTCAGTCAAAATCCAAGATGTCCGTCTGTCTGTATGCCATTGTGTTTACACAAGTAAGGACCTAGGGGAACCTACATATAAGATGTGAAAAAGATCTCTCCACTACTTCCTGAGAAATAGCGATAACAAACTTTCAATGTCAAAATCCAAGATGGCTGCCTGTTTGCCATTATATTTTTCTAATCATTCTCAAAATAAATATGTACAACTACAGACCTAAAGGAGCCTACATAACAAATTTGGGAAAGAGCCTCCAGTACTTCCTGAGAAATAGCCGTAACAAACCTTTAATGTCACAATCCAAGATGGTGGCCTATTGGCCATGTTGTTTATCTGATCAGTCCAAAATATACGCCTGCACAACGAAGGACCAAGGGGAACCTACATATACAATTTGAGAAAGATCCATCAGGTCCTTCCCGAGAAATAGCAATAACAAACCTTAACTGTCAAAATCCAAGATGGCTGACTGTCGGCCATGTTGTTTATCCCATCAGTCCCAAATGTTGCCCTGCACAGCTAGGGACTATGGGGAACCTACATATAAAATTTGAGAAAGATCCCTCTAGTACTTTCACCATCAAAATCCAAAAGACCATCACATGTTTGTGGGCTAAGAAGTTAAAACAGCAGAGAATCTCGTAGCACTTCTGTAACTGAGGTTATGAGGGTGCAGGCTCCTAATGACCTGTGTAATTTTAACATAGCTGGAAATAGTCCCTTAAGTTGTCTTTGCCTGCAAGTTCTCTTGACCAAAATTGGTTTAAATCCTTAAATTTGTATCGGAGAAAGATTTTAACAAAGGTCCCCGTGTCGCTCACCTGGATCTGTATGCCCACCAATGGTACATATGGCTTTGGGATCTAAACCATTTCAAAGTTATGGCCCAGGATTAAGTCACTAGGGTCCCACAAAAGTCTGAACCAATATTGTGTTCATGTCTTGATGCCCAGCAATGGTATACATGTAAATGGTTATGGGTTGGGGATCTAAACTGTTTTAAGGTTACAGACCCAATAGTTAAATCCCTAGGGCTGGAACCACTACCAAAAGTATGTATCTCTTGATGCCTATGTATGGTTATGGAGAGATCTTAACCGTTTCAAAGTTACATCCCAGAAATTAAGTCGCTAGGGGTGGGGCCAGACCCAAAAGTCTATTCTTATATTCGTCTCTTGATGCCCAGCAATGGTATATTTAGGTATGGGGATCTCAACTGTTTCAAAGTTATGGCTCAGAAATTTCTCCCCGCCCCCAGGGGGCCTGTACCCTCCATTTACACAAAATTGAATCTTCATTGGCCAAGGACATTTCAGGCTGAATCGAGTTAAAATCCACCAAGCTGTTCAGGACTAGTAGGGTTTTTTAAAGGAAAGGTTGACAAGACGGATAAGTAAAAATAGTTTCCTTAACTTACAATATTGGGTCCAACACTGTGTTTATAAAAATCTAGTCTCCTTTGCCTACAGATGATCTTGATTCACACAAGAAACAAGAGGCCCAGAGGGCCTGTATCGCTCACCTGAATATAACTAAAGTAATTGGTATGAAGTAAAGATATAGCACTCCATGGTAGGTGCTGTTAGTACATATGAAATTTCAGAAAGATCCATCCAGTACTTGAGATCTAGAGAACAAACTTCAAACAGAGCCCAACCCTATGCCCCTACAGGGGTCATACCCACCAATTATACAAAATTGAGTCACCGTCACCCAAGGATGCTCCACACTAAATAAGGATAAAATCCCTTAATCCTGATGGTCGGAGAAGGATTTTAAAGGTTTTACCTCTATTTTCCCTATTGGGCCCCACCTCTCTGCCTACAGCGGGGTCAGACACACCGTTTATACAAAATTGGTTACTCTTCACCCTAGAATGCTTCAGACCAAATATGGACAAAATCCTGCCATTCCTACCGAAGAAAAAGGTTTTTGAAGATTTACATCTATTTCCCCTATTGGGCCCCACCCCTCAGGTTCCAGAGGGGCCACACCAACCGTTTATACAAAATTGGTTCCCCACTACCCAATGATGCTCCACACCAAATATGGACCAAATCCTTTCATTCCTACAGAAGAACAAGGATTTTAAAGAATAATTTGCTATGTTTCCCCTATTTGGCCCCACGGCTCAGGCACCTGGGGGGCCAGATCCACGGTGTATGCAAAATTGTTTCCCCTTCACCAAAGAATGCTTCAGACCAAATATGGAACAAATCCTTTCATTCCTTCAGAAGAAGAAGGATTTTAAAGAATTTGCTATATTTTCCCTATTGGGCCCCACCCCTAAGCCCCCAGGAGGGCCAGACCAACCATTTATACAAACTTTGTTCCCCTTCGCCCAAGGATGCTTCTGACCAAATCCTTTCATTCCTACAGAAGAAGAAGGATTTTAAAGAATAATTTGGTATGTTTCCCCTATTGGGCCCCGCCCCTCAGGCCCCTGGTGAGCAAGACCCATGGTTTACACAAAATTGGTTCCCGACTACCCAAGGATGCTCCACACTAAATATGGACCAAATCCTTTCATTCCTACAGAAGAACAAGGATTTTAAAGAATAATTTGCTATATTTCCCCTATTGGGCCCCGCCCCTCAGGCACCTGGGGGGCCAGATCCACGGTTTATACAAATTGGTTCCCTTTCACCCATGGATGCTTCAGACTAAATATGGAACGAATCCTTCCATTCCTACAGAAGAAGGAGGATTTTAAAGAATTTGCTATATTTCCCCTATTGGGCCCCGCCTCAGCCCCCAGGAGGGCCAGACCCACCATTTATACAAACTTTTTCCCCTTCCCCCAAGGATGCTTCTGACCAAATCCATTCATTCCTAAAGAAGAAGGATTTTAAAGAATAATTTGCTATATTTCCCCTATAGGGCCCCGCCCCTAAGCCCCAGACCCACCATTTATACAAACTTTGTTCCCCTTCCCCCAAGAATGCTTTTGACCAAATATGGATCAAATCCTTTCATTCCTACAGAAGAAGGATTTTAAAGAATTTGCTGTATTTCCCCTATTGGGCCCCGCCCCTCAGCCCCCAGACCCACCATTTATACAAACTTTGTTCCCCTTCCCCCAAGGATGCTTCTGACCAAATATGGACAAAATCCTTTCATTCCTACAGAAGAAGGATTTTAAAGAATAATTTGCTATATTTCCCCTATTTGGCCCCGCCCCTCAGGCCCCTGGGGGGCCAGACCCTCCATTAATACAAAATTGGTTCTTCTTCACCCAAGGATGCTCCACACCAAATTTTGTTAAAATCCACTCAATGGTTCATGACAAGTAGTGTAAAGTTGACTGACGCTGCGGTATGGCATAAGCTCACCTTGGTCCTTTGGACCAGGTGAGCTAAAAACTTAAAAAGAGTAACCCCTATTTGGCCCCAACCTCCGTCAATACCAAATCGAGTCCTCTTTTCCAAATAATGCTCCAGACCACATTTGATTTAAATCCTTTCTTTTGTACTCAAGTATTTATACAAAATTTTAAGTCATCTTATGGTTGAGAAGCAGAAGATTTTATATTTAAACCTTTTTTTTTTTACCCAGATCACATTTGGTTTAAACCCTTCATTTGTACAGGAGAAAGTTTTCTTTCTAGTGGGCCATGCTCTTCTGCCCGCAGTTCATACAAAATTCCTCTATTGATAAAGATGTACTGGTTTCTTTTTCCCTGCCTCTTGTTTATATCAGAAAAATCCACAATATCGTTAAGGACCAGTAGGGTTTAAAAGTTAAATTTGACCGACGACAGATGCTGCACCATGGCATAAACTCACTTAGCCCAGGCGAGCTAAAAAAAATAGGGACAAACTAAAGAAGTAACAGACAATGACCTCTGGAATACCACATCCAAATTTTAAAATCAATAGGGTTCTCATAACCCAAACACCAAGTTTGAACTTGTATGATCTCTCTTGCTACTCCAGGAGAATCATACAGAAGCTATTTATATTATTACTCGCCGGGTCAAGAACTTGTCTACAACTCACGGGGGTATAGAACTTAAGACTATTGTGAAGTCTCTTCCGATGTGCAAGGAGTATTAATACATTTTGGAGATAAAAAATCTAATCTTTTCAAAGACATTCATCATGGTTTTTCAACCATCATAAATATTCACATGAACCATCACAGGAAGATGGCATTTTTACATCGATTTAAACCTTCCAAGAATAGAAATACTCCCTAACATCAACAAGCCCTGGTAAACGCACGGTCTTCATTCTCAGACCCCTGTAGTTCTACAGTATTTAAATCTTTGAAAACATAACACTTTTTTTCTTTCTAATTTTTTTTTTATTCCTTCACACAATTCAGAGTCTACTGTAGTGTCCGACTGATGAGGTGTTTACTAGTCCTGCTCACCAACCTTGCATCCCAAAACCAATAGATTCAACTTCGAATGACCACCATAAGATGAGGTCCACCATCGAAACTATTAACCTGCCCACCCATTGCAGATGTGCACGTCAGGGAGTTCTCTCCTGTATGTGTCCCAGAGATGTTTCAAGTTGACCATTGGTTTATACGACGGTAGCCTCTTCAGATGGTGCATCACAATGTTGTTGTTGCTGCTGTTGTGTTGTTGCCTTGGCGACGAGATGAGGGGAAAAGTTGAGTTGAAATTGACCTACTGGTATGCTTGAACCATCATTAGTGACAAGGGTGTGCGATATCTGATCCATCTGAGATGGCTCACAAAATCAACACTATTCATCATCATCATCTTCTTCTTCATCATCTTCATAATTTCTTCCTCACAAGAACACAAGTGGTAACTTGCATTCCAAAGTTATTTTGTCACAAATGACAGTCTGCAGATGTAGGCTAGTCAGCCGATCGTGTGAAGGTTACGGGGCAAATCTACTTGGACCTGCAAAGAAAAAATTAAAAGGCTTTGTTATATTATGATTCAATATTAGGTATAGCAACATAAAGGCTGCCGGTTGCCCAATCCACTTGTTAATTAACAATGTTTAAATGTGCAACATAGTTGTATAAACATCAGAAAAAATATCCGAGCTGAAGACCACAAATCCCCATTAAATATTATTTAATTATTTCACATATATTAAAAGTTCAGTAAAAGTAGATATAAAGTTCCAAAGGTCACCCCTAAACCATTCATGTCGGGTCAATAGTAATCACTTCAACAACAACTTCAGGACAATAAACTTAAATTTTGTTATTCTTCTTTCAAAAATAATAAGAAATCAAAAACAGAAATTGTGGAAATTATGTTGGCAGTAACACCTTCAAATCATTCCGCCAACATCAATATTGAAGCATGCTTCAAAATGTACTCGTATGGAAATACCCTGGCCAACTGCAAACTGATTTTGCATATTCCAGTCAAGACTAGCCAGGTGGCAAAGCAAAATTCTGCGATTTTTTTTCCTTGGCCCTGAACTTCACATTTCTAACCTTGACAAATTAAACAATTCACAATATTTGGCCAAATAAAAAATATGTTCTTTCCACTAACCCTACCTGCCCTAGATTTGTGTGCCTAAAGTTTTGTATTGACTTTCAGTAATATGGCATAATGCACTGAAAGTCAGAAATTCTGCTCCATTTTAAAGCATAGTAAAATATTTTCAAAAATAAACGAGGCCCTTGCTCACCTGGATAATAAAGCAACCATAGGATTTTTTTCTTATTACAAAAACCCTTCCAATGGTACTAAAGAAGGATGTAAAAGATTCAAACTTCCCATTCCCCTTTTAGGCCCTGTTACTCTGCATCCACAGGGCCACCCCCTCTGTTTATAAAACATTTAGTCCCCTTTACCCAAGGATGCTCCAGGCCAAATTTGGATGAAATCTCTCCAATGTTACAAAGGAAGAAAGACTTTAAAGTCCCAGCAACTCTGCACCCAGAGGGGCCACAACCTCCGTTTAAACAAAATTTAGTCTCGATGCTAAAAGATACTCCTGGCCAAATTTGGATAAACCCATTCCGCAAATGTTACAGAAGAAGGATTTTCAAGGTTTTACCTCTATTTCCCCTATTGGGCCCAACTCCTTTGCCCCCAGGGGGCCACACCCAACGTTTATACAAAATTGAGAGCCCTTGGCCTAAGGATCATAATCTACTCGGCCATTCAGGACAAGTAGTGTTTTAAAGGAAAAGTTGATGGACCAGGTGAGCTACAAATTGTCTACCTAACTTCCAGCAATTTAATGTATGGTTATGGTGTGGAGATCTCAAACTGCTTCCAAGCTGTGACTCAGAAACTTGGTCCCTAGGGTTGTGGCCAGACCCCAGGATCAATTATAATATCATGACTGCTTTCGTTTCTTTATGCCCAACAATTATATATATAGTTTTGGGATGGGGATTTTAATCATTAAAGTTATGACACAGGGGTTACCGTATTGAGTCTCCAAGGGTGGGGCAGACCCCAAGGCCATCCTGGAAGCATATGTGCATTCTTCTCTTTATACTCAGCAATTGCATATATGGTTATACGGTAGGGATCTCAACCATTTCCAAGCAATACATTTTGTTGGGCCCCACCCCTTAGCCGGGGGGTTAGCCCCACCATTTGTACAATTTTGAATCCTTGTCTCTCATGAATGCTTCCGATCACATACGATTGATATCCAGTGCATAGATCTACAGAAGAAGTTGTTCGTGGCAATATAGCCAAATAACCCTTTCTGGACCCGACCCTCAGCAACACCATTGGTACAATTTTGAATCCCCACCACCTAGGGATGCTTCCAGTCAAATTCCAATCAGTGGTTAAGAAAAAGAAGTTGTTTAAAGAAATTGTTGACGTACGGACGCCGCGGCATGGCATAAGCTCACCTTAGTCCTTCGGCCAAAAGGGGGCAATTTGGCTATATTGCTACAAACGACTTCTTCTGTAGAACTGTGCACTTGATATCAATCATATTTAATCAAAAGCATTTATGGGAGGCAGGGATTCAAAATTGTACAAATGGTGTTGCTGACCCCCCAGGGGGCCGAGGGTTGGACCAGGTGAGCTAAAAATTGGCCTTTAAGCCACATCAGCTTATTTCCATTACTCCTTACCTCAGTATATTTAAGCTTTCCTTCATTTGGCCAGTTCCCCCCGGCCCCGTAATTGTTGAATTCTCGGACACCGTTTGGTATCGAGAGTTTTGAGGTACCGACAACAAAAATCTGCTTCAACAAAAACACATAAATAATCCTTTATCGACACATGTTGGGCATGTGTTGTGTTAAAGCAGATTTTTGTTGTCAGCACCTCAAAACTCTCCCGATACCAAATGGTGTCAGCGACTTGCACGTTTTCATATAGTAGTGTATGCTGGCCCCACACCAGACTGTCTAGTGTCCGAGCCAGAGGAAACTTTGGCTTACCTTCACCAAAAATATCCTTGCCTTCTACGATTTTGTTTTTATCTTAATTTCAAATTGGCACAATTGAATATTTACCTTGCCCTCATCTTCCTCCTTTTGCGCTTCAGCCTCCTCATACGCTTCTTTCTCCACTGCAAAATACAAAAAATATAGTATTAGTAATTGACCGATAGAGAATTCGAGATAATATTTCTAAGTTTTTTAATATATATTATCATTGTACGAAATATCAACTTCCATATGAAAGACCATCTTTTGACAATAGCTGGTTATGGGCAGTTAAATGACATTACATTTCGGAATGATACCAGATTCAAGCGCCCGTGACCCAAACCCAGGGTCGCTTGACCACGTGCATGTCTATTCGATTATTTCGTTATAATGCAAACGAAATTTAATGCCATACGTGTTAATGCATCTTTTTGCAATAGATTGATCATTGTTTCGAGTTTTCTATTTATTTTTTACTGTCATGATATACACGTTTCTCCATTAAATCATTCCATCACTCAATATATCTTCGCCTTGCCTACCACTCAAAAATATTTACTAACACTTAATTTGTACATACCTTAGCCCTCATCTTGTCTTGTTATAACTGAAATGAATATATAAAGGTATTAGTTACAAAATGTGACAGCAAAAATATGTTTAAAACATGCGGATTTCATCGGATTTATTTTGCTTAAAATATTTGTACGACTACACACCTTGCAAGACAAACTGAAAAGAGGAAGAGGAAGTGACAATGCATCCTCTAAACAGGTGTAATTTCAGACAGGACATATAATAGAAACCTTTAACATTTTGATTTATCATTCTCCCTTTGATGTTTTTATGTAGGTTCATTAATCATTAAAAGTTCATTAAAATGATAAATAATAAACTATAATTGTGTTTTGACAATTTTATTTTAGAGAGTACTCTTTTCAAATATGGCGGCGCCCGGCAGCCACAATTCGGTTGCCCTGCCGTCATCGGACGTCTTGCCAAGCCGTGCAGAACCGATGATTCCAAAATCTGATATATCAGACAAACAAACGCTGCTAGCTGTGCTGCAGTTTTTGAAGAAAAATAATCTAAAGGTAGTTATCTAATAACATTTGACTGTTATATTTATGAGAATGAGCTACCCCCCCCCCCCCCCCCCCCCACACACACACACACCATCTCATAAACATCTGCTAGGCATCTTTTCGTCAAAAGCTGATTGTTAAACATAGTTACTGAGCTTTTTATCGGACTTATAGCGGGTTTATAGAAAGTTCGCAAAACCAGAAAGAAGTGAGGTTACGATTTTCTTTCTACCATCCCAAAAAGTAATTTTCTCGCTTTTATTGTTTTTTTTCGTTTGAATATCTCGCCCAGTTAACAGAACTGCCAAGTTCCTCAAGGTGGTAAATATTTGATCAAGACAAAAATATGTGGAGTGGCTGGACTTACCCCGGAGCCGAACTCCGAAAGTTCAACTTCAAGTACTCGGGAGACAATTTTTATTTTGGGGAAATTAATATATCAAAATAATATCTAGGACATGGAAGGATTTCATCAGTAACATCAATTTTTAAAAAGTTTTAGGATTTTTAGTGGACATAAAAATTTGCTAGAGATGCGACAAAATATGCCAGGTATTTATTTAAAAGGTCAAATTAATTGTTTTTGCAAAAAAATAACATTAATGCAGTCATGCAAAAATGCATATATCTGATTGTGGTCCTATGCAACCAGAAGGACAAAGTTTTCAAAGTGCTCATTAAATATAGAATCAATTCATGCTAATTTTCCCATGTACATTTCATACATGTTTTGACATACACTGCTCAGCTGATCGCAAGAATGTCTGTTTTTACAAAACAAGAACAACTATTTCCTAGCAGAGATTATGAAACCAATCTCATCACTGAACTCAAATTTTAGGAAGTGTTCTTCACTTACCTGAGAAATGTTTGCAACCTATACTGTTACACAAAGACAACAGGATTCTGGCTATCAATACACCTTTGTGTTGAGTGGTCCCGTGGTGTATTTGACAGCGCACTTGCCTTTCACCAAGGCGACTGGGGTTCGATTCCCTGATCGGACCTGAAAAGGTATAGGGTCACCTGCCCGACAACGTGGGTTTTCCCCTGATAATATGCACCCTTATAACCGGGCCAACAAGAATGATTAATATATGTTGAAATAACTTGTTTTGTAATTGTTGGAAAATAAATAAAGTTTTTATTTGTACACCTTTGGTTAGACATCAATAAAGAAGTCTGTTCTGTTAATGGTGTAATGTGAGGCAAGGCTATAACCTGTGACAAAATATCAATTCAACAGCACAGCAAATCTACTGGCTTTACAGGACCCCCTAGCACCATAGAAAAATCTATGAAATTAAACACTTCCTTTTACACAAATATAATTTGTAGAAACAGTTTCCCTGTTCCTGAAAATAGCACGTTTCAGTACATTTGTATTTTGTAAAGATGAAAAAACGATAAATTCAACAACACACAACACACACAAAAGTACACATTGAAACATAAAAATCTATTTGAAGTATCAAAACAACTTTAAGGAAGTACAATGTTCCAAAATATCTTAATATCTTGCCGTTAAGACATAGTTCTGAAATATCAGTACCCTGCTATCCCTTATAAATAATTATTCTTCCATATTTGCTTATCTCTGGTTATGCCACGACTAGAACATGAAATTTATGTGCCCTTAAAGACGAACACTCATATAAAAATGTGCATGTGATTGGGAAGGTTTCGAGTTGGTCCAGAATCCCTTTTCTATTGCTACTAAGTTTTTTTCTTTCATTACTACATTGGATACAATGTTTAAACTGAAAATCTAAAAAAAAAAAA